CTACTGGGAATCTGGTCTTCCGAAGAGGTACAGAGGAAGCTGGAGCACAATCGGCAATTGTTGTTGTCGGTGTCAGCTGTGAGGGGTTTCCGCGCGCTTTGGCTTTATGAAGCAGGCACGCAAACGGTTACGTCATGACGCAAACGATGACGCAATGACGCAGCATCAGTCGGACTCTGGGCAGTGTGAAAAGAGCCGGAGCTAATCCGAAGAACCGGTTCTGAACCTGAAAAGCTCTAGCACGGAGCTTGAACCAGAGTTGCGTTGGTGTGAATGAGGTATGTGTGCTAACGGCTGATGTTTCGGGACATGCTGTTGCACTGTCGGGGGCTGACCAATCACGAAGCGACATTTCTTGACTGGCAGCAAAAACAACCAATCACAGCAGTACTTCTCTGGCTGGCTCTGTCCAATCACAAACAAGAAGTGTTTTCCTGGACCGGAAGTAGATGGGCGTGATTTCGCAACTCTATACCCTTTCCGTGTAAGTTTAAATGCTGCGGTGTTCTGAAATGCTGTGGCGTTTTGTGAAATGCTGTGGCGTTTTATCAAATGTTGTAGTGTTTTGTGAATTGCTATGGCGTTTTCTGAAATGCTGTAGCGTTTTCTAAAATGCTGTAGTGTTTTGTGAAATACTGTGGTGTTTCCTGAAATGCTGTGGTGTTTTCTGAAATGCTGTTTTGACTTGCACTTCAGGGCCACCATATACCCCAGATCCCCTAGCAAGCTTAGTTTTTGGACCTACATGTTTTTTAAACCAAGTGTAAGGCTCTTGATAATTGTCTCAAGAAAAGAACACAGCACTATTTACAGGGACTATTATGAGAAATTAATTGTTTGACAATATACATTAAATCATAATCTTATTTTATGCACACATATATTTATCACATATACTGTATGTACAGTTTTATTTTAACACTGACGTGCAGTGGAGGGGCACAATACATTACTCTTTACACAGAAACAAAAAGGTAAAAACTGTACATGAACATAAGGCAGTACCATTAATTGACATATATATATATATATATATGTCTGTATATTTAAATGTATACAAAAATAAATAAAAAGATAAAAGAACGTATGGCTCGTAGTGTGATATAACCAATGATTCTGCTCTGGTGTTAGCTTCGTCTAAGAATAACAGGCTGACATCATCCAGAGATCATTCAGGCCCCTCTGACATTACAGGCACTTGGTTTGACTGGAAGTATTTTCTCTGTCGACATGGAGTTTTTCTTAAACTGACATGCGCTCTTAATGACAGCAGCTCCTATTCCCCTCTAATCTCTCTAATCTGTTGAACCCTTAATAACTCTTAAGACTTGCAAACTACAATCAAGCTTTAAAAAATCTTTGTTTTTGACATCCCCATGTTTCTCTATACACATATCAGACTTTTACAAGTAGTACAATTCACATTCATCATTGACCTTACATAACATGTATTCATATTTAATGTGCCTTACATTTTCAACAAATAAACGATACATTGTTCATCATTGTGCATGGAATGCTGTTTGTTTTCCCTCCTGCGTCTTTTGATTAAAGTTTTTGTTTCGTACATTCAGGAGAGCTTGACAGGAAGGTAATGTTATGTACCTCATATGTTGTTTTCGAAATACAATCACATAATTGTGTCCCGGTTGGTTGCGGAAACCTGGATTTATCATTTGTATTCTTCTAGGCTTAATCCTCCTCCTGCCACTTCATGTTTTAGTGTGTGTGTGTGTGTGTGTGTGTGTGTGTGTGTGTGTGTGTGTGTGTGTGTGTGTGTGTGTGTGTGTGTGTGTGTGTGTGTGTGTGTGTGTGTGTGTGTGTGTGTGTGTGTGTGTGTGTGTGTGTGTGTGTGTGTGTGTGTGTGTGTGTGTGTGTGTGTGTGTGTGTTTTGCTGTCTGCATTAATATGGTATCCCAGTTCCTCGTGGGGCAGTGTCTTGACTTCTCATGAGTGAATCTCTGTCCATCTTGCTAACAAATAACTCTTGTTTCTTGGAACAGAATTCCTCCTTAGTGGATATGAATACAGCCTCAAGTATCCACCTCGAATCCACTTTCCTTGATTCAACAAAGTTTCTTCACATTATTAGATTTTTTACTACAGCCCTCTCAAGACTGCTCCTGTAGATCTAACATCCATGTTATCCCCTGTCTGTTCTCACTCCAACAGCCGTCTCGTTTTCTCTTACTGTCTGTATGTGTGTGTGTATCTCATTCCCTCAGTTTGCTGCTTTGTTTTCTCTACACCCACAGCTTTGTCTGCTGCTTTGTACATTAGGCGTGCCGCAAGACCATTAATGCGCTGATCCACCCCTTGCATTCCTGCTGCTCTGCTCTGACTGAGAAGGAAAACAGTTTTGGTTCGTATAAATCAATGCACAGGGTCCTACTCCACCACAGCCGAGGTAAAAGCGCTCTTTACTGTCAAGGCCATTTTGCATAACAGATGCTGTCACTGACAGCCACTGTATCTTTCACAGTGCCCTCATAAAATGGTGTTGACATCTTCAATGACACCCTTCCTCTCTGTTGTGGTGGAGAGGACCGGTGATTACAAGATAGAGGTCCTGTTGACAGAAGCTGTCCTTTGTTGTTGGAAACATCTGGTTGTGGTCAGTGCTCTGTTCTCAGGCTGTGCACTGCAGCACATCCCTGCAACAGACCTCTGTGCACCCTAGTTGTCTTTTGAAAAATGTCTCTGTGTATCTGTTTCTGCCTCATCAGTCTTTGTCAGTACAGGCTGTCCTTGGTGGTGGAGGTGTGTGTGGTGGTGGAGTCGTCGGGCAGGGAGCCCCGGCGGTCGGGTCGTGTCCGGCACTGCAGGAGGTTCTGCAGCTCTCTGGACACGCTGCTGGAGAAAGCTGTGTAAATCCACGGGTTGGTGCACGAGTTCAGATTCCCCAGCAGCATCAGGATAGTGAAGGCCACTGCTGAGGACACAAAAACACACACTACAGTATAAGAGAAGTGCATATCCAATAACAGAGACAAGTCTAAACCTGAAATCTCATACAATACTTGAGACAGATGATCACATTGTTCTCTTCTCTGTTATGAAACAAACAGAAATATGTACACCATTCCATTTGAATATAAACCATTCATTATTCTTGTTTCTCGTTTTGTTTCCTTCAGGAATAGCTATAAATATCCCAGAGGGAACAAATCCTGTATACTTCCCTTTTCAGTTTCCTCACTGGCAATGACAAATATTTTTTTATAACTAAAGTATGCTTATTTCAACCCAGCCATTTGAGGACAATAGATCAGGAAAAACTGATTCAAGAATACAAACCTGATAATAATCAGCTGTTTGTGTGTGTGTTTGTGTGGTGGGGGGGGATAGGTGCTGCCTGGCAGTGAGGACTCATTCATGTGTATGTGCACATGCATTGGAGTACAATATGCATATGCAAGTGAGATTCTGTGTATGTGTTTGTGCGCGTGAAAGCTCACGTGCCTCGCTCTGTGTGTCTGCTTGTGATTTCAACAATATGTGTTAGCTGCCGGAAAAGATGATGTTGATGAATTATCAACATCTGGCTGTGTTGCAAAATCAGCAGGGGATATAAACAGGTTATTCACTGGCCTCCGATGTTTGTCTTCAGACACCCACACAGTCCATACTAGCAACAACAACTTAATGCTACACTATACACACTTGCTTCATCACTGGCTGTCAGATAATACATCAGCAGATGCTGTTTGTGTGCCCATAATGCACAGAGGCCATAGACGTCATCCAGAGGTTTCTGTTTGTGGTTCAAAACAAACATTGTTTTTGACCTTAAACTTCACTCACTGCTACATCCAAGCTGGAGTGTGCTGTCCTTGGAATAATAAGTGAGCATTTAGACTCTCTAAGATGGACTACAGCATTGATCAGAGGCTGTTTTTGGCTGCTTAAAATGGATTGGGTTGCACATTTAGGCCAATTAAATGGATAACAAGGACTAAGGAGGATCAATCCATCTTAAAAAAAACATCTTAAGTGATTCACTGGTGATGGTTGTTTTTGTTGTTTGTTGAGACTGAATTGTATACAGTTGCAATATTGCAACAAACTCTCATAGGCAGAAACATAAAGCATGTTAGTGACTGACCATGTTGTGGATGGTGGGGGTCCCAGGCCGCCCAAAGCTGGACGATGAAGTAAGGGGCCCAGCAGATAATATAGACCAGCACGATGACCAGGGTCATTCTCACAGTCTTTGACATGGCTTTTGTGATGCTGTGATGAGGTGGAGTGGCTGGAAGGGGGGGGCGCGCATAGTCGAGGGAGCAGCGAGGTGAGCAGCGAGGTGAGCCTGAGGCCAGCTCGTAGGGTGTGTACGAGTCCTGGCAATCTGAGCCGCTCAATGTTTGCTGCTGTGTCGGTGATGTTGTTGCCACATGTTCACCGCTACTGTACTGGACAGCCGATGGTACAAAGTCATAACACTCTCCTGCTTGGCTGTCATTGGTGTTATTGTGAGGGTTGTTATTCAAACCCTTTAGGAGTTGTCCTCCTCTGCCATTCCTGCCCCCCCCTCCGGACGACCGTCTCCCCCTATCCTTGGACCGCTCGTCATCCTTTTTAAAGCTGTGGAAGCGGAAGAAGATTTCTTTCTTCTTTAACTCCGCCATCACAATTCTCTCTGACTTCATATAGATGTTATTGTGGATTTCTCTGAAGATTCTTATCTGAAAATAAAATGTATTAAAGAATTAGCACAGTTGAATACGGGTGAAACAAGGCATTACCTTATTTACAGACTTAACTGAGAATTAAGTTTTATGACGTTCACGATTAAATCTTGTTTGCATCTTGGTTGTAATAGTGGCAGGAAATTGAATGTGTTGTCCTATATAATCAGCAATAAAGCAAGACATTATACAATACCACTACTCTTTCCGTCTGTTAGCATCACAAAAGCTACAATAACATTTTATTGCAGAGAAATCTTAACACCCTCCTGAGCAACTAAAACAATATTTTGAAGTCAAATAAAAGATGAATCAATCAAGCTATTCTTAGTTTACTTTTTTCTTTAAAATACCATTGAATACCTCTGATCCTTTTCCCCCTTTTTACTATTAAAAACAGCTATATAAGGGCAGGATTTAGACTGTAAACTTTCAGATTTACTTCCTTCTGCAGACACTACACCGTACTTCTGAAAAGGTGTCTAGAGGCCCCTCAATTTGAAATTCGATAATGAAAAAAGGTCACGGATTCTATGTTTGGCCGAGATCTGGTACATTCCACTTCCTGGCGGGAGGTTCTCGGAGTGAGCAGATTTTCTGAGCAGCCGTCTCAGCAGTGGTCCTTAAAGTGCTGTGTTAATTAGGGGAAATTGCTGGTCCCTGGAAATATCTTTCTCTAAATAGAGCAGTGGGGCTGATGGGAGGCAGCCCAGATCGCTATCCACCATGGGATGCTACATAACACCAACCAAAGACCCCCACGGGTAATCAAACAATGCCTGCCAAAGGTACCCTCCATGAAAGCAAAACAACATTTCATTCATGCCACAAACTTAATTGTTGGAAAGTGTTGCCCACAGCTTGTTTCCTTGTCATTGGTCTTAATGGGCGGTGCAGATATTGAGCGGCTACTATTACCTGACAGATGGTAATGATGAAGGCGGGCAGGAGGAAGACAGATATGGTCATCCAGGTGACGTAGGCCTTCAGCCCCCACGGCTCAGCAAAGTGACCCCAGCAATCAAATTCTCCTGAAACAGTTTCTGTGCGAGAGAAGATGAAAGCCTGGCAGACCAAACAGAAGAGGGTGGTCAGCACACTCGCAGATATCACTGTCAGTTATTAGCTGAACTCTAATGACCTCTGGGAGCTAAAAATAGACCAACAGTTCTACTGTAGAAATCAGGGTGTTAACACACGCTAAGGTCTCATTTCCTATTGCACCATATGTCAGCACGCGTGTTCATCCCTCCCTACCTGTGGTATGCTGAGGACTAGCGCCAAGCCCCAGGCCACCATGACAGGGGTGTTCCAGCGGGACATTGTGCCCCCTCTGTAGGCCTGCAAAGGGCAGCAGATGGCCTGGTGCCGGTCTACCGTCATGGCAACTATCATGTAAGAGGAAGCAAACATGCCCACAATCTGCAAGTACTTGACGGACCGGCAGAGAAAGTCAGGCCCCTGAAACTTCCCAGTGATGTCCCAAATGAGCTGGGGAAGAACCTGGAGACAGATTGAAAAATATGCACTTGTTTAAAATTGGCTCCCAGAATAGTAAAGCATTTTTTTCTTGTTTAATCTTTAGAAATGTAGAAAAAACTAAAACTAAAGGACAAGCCTGTTCACATAACCATTACTAACAACAAATTGATCCTACCAAGTATTGACTGTGTAGCCTGTCCTCTCTGTCACAGACCTTCATTGTTTTCTCAAATGTTTTTGTTATTTAATAATCATTTCGGTACATTTTGGTCAATTTTTAGATCACCATAGAATAATATTTGGACAACTTTCACATGATGAATGCTTTCACAAACTGACTATGCCAGTGGATCCCACACTTTTTCTGCAGGGACTCCTTTTGTAGATAGAACATTTTAATAAAATGTGTCTGTGTTGGCTCTGTTTCTCCTAATATGTGTGCACTTCAAGCCCACCCCTCATTTGGGAAACCCCTGGACTAAAGTCATACTTAAGGATGCTGTGATGGTAGCAAGTAACTGGTGAACTGACCTGAAAGAAGGCCACCACCAGGTCAGCCACACACAGGTTGAACATGAACACGTGCATGGGTGCATTATGCTTCCTCCTCCTCAGCAGCACCCACAGCACAAAGCTGTTCCCCAGAGTGGTAAGGGCCAACACCACCCCGAGCACTGCTATCTCTGCCCGTGCCAGGTCCATGTCCCTCTCCTGCTGCGTGTGCTGCGTCGTGGTGGAACCATTTTCAGGATCTATCCCGAAGAAGGATCCCCCGCTGTGAGAACTGTTGAGGGAGTTCAGTTCAGAGACAAGCAGAGACGAGGAAGAGAAGTTGTTCCTTCCTGCTGCGAGCAGAGAGGAGAGGGCCAACCCATCCCAGTCCGTTTCCACACTGATGCTTTCCATTCCTGGAAGCCAAAAAACAAAGTGTTAATGTGTGAAGCAAATAATAGCGGTTGTTGTTTGTGGGTAATTAATGATGCCATGAGCAATATGGTCACCAGGAGTCAAACGGGTGCATGGTCATAAGACCGTATACACTCATAATATTAGAGGATCCAGATTTTATCAACAAACAATTTAGTTGTTCTGTATTATCACAATATTAATGTCATGCCTGACCTCTTTATCAAATGTCCTAGTTGCCCTAACATGCGTCAGCTGGGAAATTGTTCCTGATCATATCACTGGGAAAGAAAGAAGCCAAACACTTGGGCCTTTTAGTAAAAATACATAACTGAAGGCATGAGTTTACAATCATTAAAATGTTTTGGTGCATCTGTTACTTTTTCACATTGTAAACTAATACAAATACCTCCTGTTATACAGTTGGGAAAAAAATCTGACCCAAAATAATGAAAGCCAGATACTGTTACAGTCTGCCATGTGAAAGTTGTTGTTTTTGGGGCTGTCTCTAATTTTTTAATAAGTCTTCAGTGTGTCTGTATCTCTCAATGCTGCCAGTTCTGTTTGACGCAAGTCCAGAATGGTTTATTTTCTTTTTCACATTTTCTCAAGGTTGATTTGACAGCTTTCCCCTCTATCCCACTACTCTTGTTCCTTCACCTCTGCTTTAATAATCGCTCTCATCCCATGCTTACCCCCATACATTCCTGCTTTCCCATGTTTCCCCCCCTTTCTCTTTCTTTTCTCTCATGCATCCAGTCATTCTTTTCTCTTCCACCAATCTCTCTCAAGCTCAATAAACTCTACGTTTATTTTTCTTTGCTTATAAATAAATGGCTCAAAACGACAGATAGTTGATAGGAATGATCTGACAGTTTAAGAAACAGAGTCGTGGGATGATGCTGGAAGTCTTGGTCAAATAAACTGCACGTAGAAGAAAGTCTGGCAGGAAAAATTAAGGAAGATGAAAGGAGAGTGGTGAAAGCAGTGTGGAGAAAGAGCAGAAAAATAAGAAAACAGTACAGAAAAGGTAACATAATAGAGTTTTGAAAAGGGAGTAAGAAAAGGTGTCGATTGACACTGTGTATTATTTTTGATTAATGTGCCAGGAGTGGTTTAGGTACAAATGTTTCACTGAATGTATGCTTGGACATGTTCCATGTCTGAAAAAGTAGGAAAGCTATCTCAATAGTATAGTGCAAATTGAGTATGACTAACAAGACTTAACAAGGTTGTTCGCACAGCTCCAGTGAGAACTAATGGCCAATTTTCTAGTAATAGTGTACTCACTGCTGGGTGTGTGAGATAACACAGCTGAACATATTGTCGAGTGTTGCATGCTGTCTTTGCCAGAGGAATGTATTCAGATGCACGCATGACGAGCCATGCCAGCTGGACCCCTCCGCCCAGCATGAAGGTAGAGCTATGGATGAAAGGAAGAGAATCTTCTCTTAAATCAGACAACAACTCTGACTCTGTTTGAGTGAATCCCTGCTGCCACAGCAGGCAACCACAACTTCCAAAACACATTTCAACCAAGTCTAAATCTGTATTGGATAAGAGACCTTTATTACTATGCTCAGTTATTGTCCCTGTCCAAAGGACATTTTGATAAAGGCTAGTAGTATTCTTTCTCGTTATCTATTTATTATCCATCTTTTCTTAAATTATAGAGGTTAAAACAACAAGGCTTTTTTCATCAAGTTATCTTCTGGCCTCTTAGGACCTTAAGAGCCTTGGGCCCCTCTGTAATTACAGGATAATTTATGGGAGGATTATTTGTGCTGCTGCAGTCCTTTATACCCCACTTGATAATCTTATTATGAAGCGTTTATTTGCCAATGTGACTAATTTCTGATGTGAAATCACTTTTTCAAGTATGCTCCTATGAAAATAAGGTGTAATGACTTAAGGAGGTTGAAGATATTAATCCACATAATTATAGTAATGCTAAACTAAAATCCCAAATTGGTAGGCCTTTTAAATCAAGGGAAATTAAATAATCATTACCGGTACAAAGAACACCTCTGTAATATTGCCATATTGCTTAAAACTAATTAGCAACAAAAAATAATATGCTTAAAGGTAGAAAAAAGTAAGTTTGCATGTTATCAATTTGAATATTTTATTTGTTCTTGAACTATTTACATAATGCAGTCTGTACTTCATTGACACTATGTTTGTATGATAGATTAGGAAGACTATATGCGGCATTTTCTCCTGAGCAGATTTATGGTTATTTTTTTATATTTTAGTGACACTAAGATATGAAGAATAATAGCTATCAATCTGCACTAAGTTAGAGTTAAGAAATAAATTACAAAAATGCGAGTCATTGTGTACAATGTGTAGTCTAATTATTTTTCTTTTAACATTGGAAATCTGCGCTTGAATTTGAACGTCACTACGTACGTAGCTCACGTAAATGTCAAGTCGTCATGGCGGCCCCGCACATGTCCCGATTTTGCAAAATGTGACTTTAAAAAAAAAAAAGTACAGCGAGAGGTAGGCAGACACGGAACCCAGCCAAGCTACATTTAAAAAGGGGACAACGTGTGCTATCATTTCAAAGGAACTGGTGCAAAAGAAAAAAACATCAACTGCAGTGCACGGCTGTCCCTGAGTGTTTCAATGACATACAGAATGGTGAGTAAGTGTGCATTTTGTAAACAGTTTTTGTGTGAGTCTAGCTATATTTAATTGACCCGTGTATTTTAATTGTCTGAGCCCCAGAGAAAAACATAACAACCAAATCCCTAAAAAAAAATTACTGAAAAATATGAAGACAATGGACTTACTTAAACTCAACTATAAAATCATGTTTTTAATTTGCGTAGTACGTGATGTTACAATTTAGGCTACCAGTGTTCCCTAAACGTCTCATATTCAGGGAACGTCATCGACACAGCATCCTGTAACAACAACGATGCTACTGTTTCAAAGGTAAGGTCCACCAACGTAAGAAAGTAGCTAACTACATAATGTGTAAAGCGAAACAGCGATGTATTTTCAATTTGCAGATTCTCTGTGAAATCAGCAGATGGAGGCGTGTTGAGGCAGCTGCTGCCGCTTCTGAAGTATATTTCTGTTTCCCAGTGGTGTAAAGTAATTAAGTAGAATTACTCAAGTATTGTACTTTAATACCATTTTGAGGGAGTTGTGCTTCTCTCAAATATTTCAATTTTTTGCTACTTTGTACTTCTACTAGGTATATTGTGTTCTTTTACTCAATATAATATAATAAACATAATATATTTTATTCTCAAATGGGCCAATCTGCATAGTGATAACTTCTACTTTTGGTACTCTAGTACGTATATTCTGATGCTCATACTTTTCCTACTTTTACTTGAGTTACATTTTGAATGCAGGACTTTTACTGGTAACAGAGTATTTCTACACTCATGTCATGGTAGTAACCAGTGGCGGCCGGCCCATAGGGGCGCTAGGGGCGCCGCCCCCCCTCTTCCCTCATGTTTGATTGTCATTAAAAAATTTAAATAAATAAAAATGTATATTTAAAGGCTTGTGTTGTCGATTCTTGTTCAGTTTTCATCTTCCTCACCCTCTCAGACTTTGAGTTGCGCGCGCTGCTAAAGAGACGCGCTACCATGGAAACCAAACAATGGTGTAGCTGTATTAAATTCCGAGTGGAAACAGTCGTGAGTAAATCTGATTTTGTCAGAAATCGGGAGAAATGCGGGAGTTTCCCGCGAAAATCGGGAGGGTTGGCAAGTATGACACATACACACACACACATGATATTCGTATTTAGTCTCCTGATTTTAAATGGGAATGAAATAATTTGAGTGTTCCCAAAGCACCAGTGTTCTGCAGTTTGTGTGGGCACAGTTTTGGAAGATTCATAGCTAACCGCACTGAAGATTATGGATTATGTCATATTTTTAAGCCTCAATTTGTCTTCCCCCTCTGCCCCCCTCTAACATCACCAGAAGTCATAATTTAAGGGGTAATTTCTCAAAAATGTCTTCCGGGGGGCCAATCCAGCGAACCATATTCCACTGTGGCCACTAGCCAGTGCTACAGCCATTTTTAGAGTTGTAGATCCACAAATACTTTCTGTGGTGACTTCCTAATTATGATATTTTATATATCCACAGATCTACCTTGTATAGTGATTATGATTTAGATTGTGAATATGTATTTGTGCTTGTGCTTTTTGTATGCATTTGATTAGTTAATTCTAAATTCCCGGGATTAATTCTTAATAGTTGTTTGTTTTACGACGCTAAAGCATTAAGTGACTTGCATTACATTTATGAAGCATATTAGCGCTGCGTTATTGATTCACGTTTTTGGTAGTCGTTTTATTTACATTCATAACGCAGTGCCGTTACTGACCTCACTTTACGTTAGATACATTATGAATGAGTTCCTGTTCACCTGTTCTCCGGAAGGACACACAATAGTTTCTTAAAATGTCTCCACTACAGGAGACCCACGCGTTGTTCAACATTTCTTGCACGGATGTTTCTTGTCCCCAGAGAAACTATGATGGATACAGTTCACTGTATTCCTTTAAATATCCTGTCTCTTAAAAATTGATTCCACTTTGCTCTCACTCTAATAACAAAAGCACAGCACAGCACAGCTCTCCCATCTGTCTGATCGACTTAATGTAAAGCAAAAACGTATTCTGTCTCTCTGTGCTGGAAATACTGTAGACAGTGCTTTTAGTAGTTAGTGCAGTACAGTCACTTCCTCTCTTTACTTTGAGGCTTTCACTTTGATTAATGATAGAGTCAATTCCTCTCTTGTGTTTCTCTCCAAAGGCAAACTGGTGTGCAACCATCCGTTTCCATGTCCTCTCCATCCTATACTGCTTTCCCCCGCACACAGCAATACACTGCCTCAGGGATGACAGGAGCAGGTAATTGAAGTGTGCAAGAAAACATTATAGCTACAAAGCATTCACATCTTTCAACATCTCGGTCCTCTTTTCAGCTGTTCACACATGTTTTGGTCATTCCCTTTGACAACTATGTCACTGCAGCTATGTGTAGATCAAACATTATCGGTGTTCCAAAGTCCTGTTAAACCATATGCACGTATGTTAAGTACCAAATGTCTAAAAGAGACATATCTTTGGGTTGTTATATTCACTCCTATGCTATTTTGTTACTATTACTTATTTTGCCATTTTGTCAAAGTGACAAACATTCAAAAATAATCCAAGTTGAGAGGATACTTTGTTAATAAATCTGATGTTAAGATTTCCTCTGAATTGGCTGCTTTCAGACAATCGTAGATATCTGTTATCCTCTTTTTTTGGGATTATTTACAGACCCAAAACTTCATTGAAACTATTAATAATTGTTTGAATAACATGACAATGAATCAGATCAGCAGACTTGTAACTTGCATAATCTGCCACAGTGAGATTCAGGTCTGCATTAATATCTGTCAATGTTCCCTCATTGTTTTGTGATAATGCACTTAAAGAAAACGTATTGATTTAAAATCTGCACTACTGACCATAATCAATGCAAACTTGATCTGTACTGTGAAGGTTCACATAACAACAAAAGGTTTACATAACAACCGAAGTAAGTCGCTTTGGATAAAAAGCGTCTAACAAGTGACATGTCATGTAATAATGTATACCCGGGGGTTGCTAATAGAGTTTCAAATTGTATGTAAAAGAATAGAATACAGTTGATGTCTGGAAGGGTAGACAAAAAACAAAGAAGCAGGGTTTGCAAAATAGTTAGTTGTGACGTATAAGAGATGTTATTCAAATCCACTGCTATGCTCCTTCAAATGAAATTGCTCTTTCATACAAGAACACCTTTTTTCATTACACGCACTGACAGTGGGAATTCATCCTATGGCAGATTTAAAGCTAATTGGTTAACATGGAACGGTGGTGGCCTCAGTAGCAAACAAACAGTGCTTAAGCCCTGGGTGTAATAATTCAAACATAATGAGAAAATAGAAAAGACCCTTCCCTTCCCCGTCATGCTTGTGTGTGCATATCAGTCCCATGATCAATTCCCTTTGACCAGGTTTGACCCTATCTGTCCTCATTAGCAACATTCTTTTCTCCTTTCTTCCTAACCAATCCACTGTCTTCTGTCATCAGAGATCAAAATCACAGAGGAAACTGTTTCGGACATGCCTATTATTTCTGTCTGATATTATTTATCGTCCTCATTAATAGACATTGGCAACAGGAAACAAGTTTATGGATTATTGAAAAGTATTCAGTTCCCTTTCATATGAGTGTTGAGAGCTGTATCCATAAATTCATTTTGTGCTCAAAGTGCACCAGATTGATGCATTTAACTTCAACATTTAAAAACAAATCTTCCCGGGGGTGCATGCCCCCAAACCCCCCTAGAGGATGTGAGGTCCACCCCCAAACTAAAACAAG